GGCGCCCTTTGCCCAGGCCAGGGGGTCCAGCGGGTCGGAAGTTGTCCTTGTGGGCGGGTTTTCCAGGTGACAGGACTGAGGCCGGGAGAGGGGGTGGGGGAGAACCCCACAGATAGGTCACCCCCTACCTGAGGGAACCCCTGAATCATCTTCCCATGATGTGTGGCACCCACGAGGGGGAAGGAGAAGAGGCAGCACAAGATTTCCTAAGGAAAATGAGGCGGTTAAGAGAGTTGAGGCTAGACTACTAGAGGGACTGCCGAGTGCATTTACCTCCCTAGATGAACTAACCGGGTGTCCGCTCTAGGTGGTGTCAGCACCCAGCCACTTCCCAACAGACACTGGGGGAACCTGGGCTGGCCTCCTAACCCTGGAGCTGGCGGCCACCCTGGAACCTGGTGTCTGAGGAGCCTGATAAAAGGCACCCAGCCCCCGCGGCTGCCTCTGATGTGCAAGGCTCAGTCCCACACCTGTCCCTGCGACTGATCATTAACCAGGACTTCCTGCTTGCTGACATCACAGGGGCGTGGCCAGGGCAGGCTTTGGCAGAGCAAGAGTTAAAGGGAGGAGGTAGCCCCAGAAGCCCAGCCCCCACCCCTGAGACCTCCTGACTTTGCCTAGAGGAGGAGGGGTGGGGGGAGTGCTGAGCCAAAGGTCCTGTCTCAGCACAGCGTTCAGGGAGCTTTGGGACCCAAGGGTGACCCCAGACCAGATGTTCAGTCACCCGGAATCTGGAGAGCCTTGCTGGGTGCGGTGCCGCATGCCTATAATCCAAGCCACTCGGAGGCTTGCGATCTGAGGACAGAGGTTCCAAGTCAGTCTGATCAGAAAAGTCCCTGAGGCCCATGATCTCCAATTAGCCAGCAAAAAGCTGGAAGTGGAGCTGCATCTCAGGTGGTAGAGTACCAGCCTTGGGCAGGGACAGCACCTAGGCTCAGTTCAAGCCCCAGGACCAACATAACACACATGTATCTGGACTCCCCTAACATCCTGCCCTAGGCATGGCCCACACACCACCCACCTGCAGCCCCACAGTTTTAAGGACCGAGGCTTCACCCTCACATCTCTGGAGGGAGGACCCTCAGCAAGGAAGGGTCCCATCCCCCCTCATCCATCACCTTTCAGACGCTTTGCCACCCCTGGCACTGCCAGCCTGGGCTGTGGGGCAGGGCTGGGAAAAACCACCCCTGATTAAATAGTGCAGGTGATAAGCATGGGCAAGAGGTGCTGGACGCAGCTCCAACCTGGGCCAGTCTTACTCCTTTCCTCGCCCAGCTCCGCAGCGCCAAGTGCTGGTTTGTCTTCCCCCTCCCCCAAATCCTCACAGCTGGCGGCTGCCTCCACACACCTGGTCAGGCCACCGTGGGGGGTACAAGAGCTGCGGAGGACACCTGGTCCTTTAAGAGCAGCTGGTTGGGGAGGGGTGGGTGGCGGGAGGACAGGGGAGTCACCCCCCAGCCTGGCCAGTGTGTATTCTAGATAGAGCCTGGGTTAATCATTAATACAGCAGAGGCCTGACCTGTGTGGGTGTGGGGGGCTGGGCTAGTCCCCCTTCCCGCAGTGTGGGGTGGGGACAGGTGGAGGGGTTCAGATTGACTTGGGGGTCAGTAAGTAGGTAACAAGGTTCCCCAAGAGAGGAAGGAGGCTGAAGGCTGTCCCAGCCGTGACAGATGCTTAGAAGAGGGAACTGGGGGGAGAAATGTGTGCAGAGATTGGGATTTCCAAGGAGCGTAGGGATGGGATGGGGAGATGGCTGGGGGGGGGGGGGGGTGGAGCACTTGGCTAGTTTATGAGTCTCTGGGTTCTATGCCCAGCGCCAAAAATGGACTCAAATCAAAGGTAGCAGATAGGAGACTGATGTCTAGGTCAAGGCACAGGCCAGGACTACAAAACTTAAGGCATCCTACCATGGAAAGCTTTCTGAGAGGAACAGAAAGGCAAGAGGCTGGCTCATTCTTCTTCTTTAATTTTAGAAGTCTCAGCTCAGCCACCACCTCCAGGAAGCCCTCCTTGATTCCCCCCCCCTTCCACTGGCTTGTGTAAGAAGCCTCTGCTGGACTCCCATTTTCCTGGGTTTCTCTCCCCCCTCCTTTTTTGCTCTCTGGCCCCAGTCCTACCCATTCTCCATCCTTCCTGGCTGAGAGGCTCCTGAAGACAGGGCCAGGAATCTTGGTCACCATTGGGTCCCAGGCTTTCCCCCAGCTCAAGACTGCTGGGCTAAGGGATGTGTAGATTCATGAGCGCATTTTCTCCCTCAGCAAATATTTATTTGGCATCTGTCAGTGTGCCAAGTCCTGGGACAGGTGCTATGGGTAGAGCGGAGAATCAGATTCTAGTTTGGCTGTTGTGTCCCACATCCTCACAGCTGATGGGTAAAAACAGGCCACAGACAGACCCTGGAAAGCATCCCACAAAGACAAAAGGGAAGAGAAAAGGACAGAGATGGCTATTTTGTGGTTTTGTTGTTCATGCTCGTACTGGAGCTTGAACTCCGGGACGAGGCTCTGTCCCCTAGGCGTATTTCACTTGAGGCTGGCACTCTACTACTTAAGCCACAGCTCTACTTCGTATTTTTGCTGGTTGGTTGGAGATAAGAGTCTCATGGACTTTCCTGCTAGGGCTGGCTTTGAACCATGATGCTCAGCTCTCTCCCTCGCGAGTAGCTAGGATGACAGGCGTGAGCCCACCAGCGCCCGGCTGCAGGTGGCTAATTTGAGAGTATGGCATGGGAAGGCTCCCTGGGGAGTCACACGGCCGTGTGGATATGAGGGACATGGCACTGGTGGGTAGCATTCTCTCCGTGGCCCTGAGGTAGAAACCTGTTCATTGCACACCTGGCCAAGGGGGACAGTAAACTACCACACAAGGAAAAGTTGCAGGAGATGACGTCAGAAGCATCATGGAGGGACATCAGGGTGCTGTGGGGCTCAGCACTGGGAGAACTTTGGGGCTTGTAATCCTGGGAGGCTGAGCTCTGAGGATCTCGGATCGAAGCCAGCCCCTCCGATGTGAATCTCCAGTGAACCACCAAAAAGCTGGAAGTGGAGCTGTGGCTCAATTGGTGGAAAATCAGGCGTGAGAGTAAAAGCTCAGGGACAGTGCCCAGGTCCTGAGTTCAAGCCCCAGTATCAGGGCACACATGAACACACACACAAAACTATGAATAGTAGTGGGGGGGGCAGTCCTATGACTTGAACTCAGGACCTTGGCACTGTCCCTGAACTCTTTCACTCAGAGCTAGTGCTCTATCTCTTTGAGCCACTTTTGATTTTCTGGTGGTTCCTTGGAGATTAGAGTCTTACAGACTTTCCTACCCAGGCTGGCTTTGAACCACAATTCTCAGATCTCAGCCTCCTGAGTAGGTAGGATGACAGACGGGAGCCACTGGCTCCTGACAATGGATAATTTTTCAATGGGAACAGGTGGGAGTTGTCAAACAGCGGCTGAAGAGAAAGAGCAGAGTGGCGGCGAAAAGAATGGCGAAGAACCCCGCGGGGACCCACATTCTCCCTCCAGTATCTTGTGATCCAGGTCCTCTTACACCCGGTGTCCCATAACTATGCGAAAGAGACTCACGATGACAGAGAAAAAGTGACACGTGGAGATGCCCAGGCCCCTAGGGAGAGGCCAGGTAAGGATGGGGGACAGGCCCCAGCCCCGGGAGCTCCCAGGTTTCCTCCACCTGGAAAAAGCTTCCTTAGGCACTAGACCGCCCCCCCTCCCCAGCCCTCCTACCCCCCCCATGGTATTCCCACTCACACCTCGGGCAGAGGAAGCTGGCAGGCCTCACAGGAACCTTTGTGTGCGGGGGGAGTGGAGGCGGCCTGGACGAAGGGAGAGGAGTGGCGGGCAGGCGGGCAGCAGGCAGAGGCTACACAAAGGCCCCAGTGTCTGCCCCTCTACTCCTGGACAGATATAAATAATACGTGCATATACCTTTATATATATATATATATATATATATATACACACACGAGTGGATTGGGGCAAAAGGCTGGGAGCCTTCCATTCCCCTGAGATCCTGGCATGGTAGAATCTGCCTGGTGGGGGGCGGTCCGGGGTCCCAGGTCTCCAACACCCCCAGAGATGAAGAGAAAGAGAAGTTCACAAAGTAAGGGGCAGGGGGTAGGGGGGTAATTGTAGGCAGGAGCTGGTGGCTCACGCCTGTCATCCCAGCTACTCAAGAGGCTGAGATCTAAGGATCACAGTTCAAAGCCAGCTGGGGCGGGAAAGTCTGAGACTCTTTATCTCCAGTAAACCACCAGAAAACTGGAAGTGGAGCTGTGGCTCAAGTGGTAGAAGGCTTGCCTTGAGCCAAAGAGCTCAGGGAGGGGCCGGGAAGGTGGCTCGGTGGTAGAGTGCTTGCCTCGCATGCATGAAGCCCTGGGTTCGATTCCTCATACCACATACACAGAAAAAGCCAGAAGTGGCTCTGTGGCTCAAGTGGTAGAGTGCTAGCCTTGAGCAAAAGCAGCTCAGGGACAGCGCCCAGGCTCTGAGTTCAAACCCCAGGACTGGCAAAACAAAAAAGAATCGAGCCTGGCTTGGGAGAGCCCAGGGCTTTGTTGATTGTAGCGAAAGGGACAATGACAAAATGAAAACAAGGCTTAGTGCCTAGGAGGACAGAACCACAGACAAACCGGGGTGAGGGGAAGGGACAGAAGGCACGCAGGGGTCAGGAGCCACCAGAGTGAGATGGATACAAACAGACATTAGCCACGGGGCTGAGGCCAAGGCTGGGCGCTTGGGGACAGGGCGGTCAGCGCACACAGGAGCCCTTGGGGACACTAGGCGCGGGCTGTGGTCCAGCCCGGCCTGGGGCAGGCCGAGGGGCAGAGAA